CCAGACACTGCCCCCTCCCCGCAGCTCCAGCTCCAGACACTGCCCCCTCCCCGCAGCCCCAGCTCATGCATCCAAGGGCCTTGCCCCCTCTGCCTGAGGACGCCCTCAGCCTTAGAAAGCAGCAGCCCTGGGCCCTCCTGTGCTGCCAGGACCGCAGCCTCCACTCCGCCTGACCCGGAAATGACAGGCTCCCGTCCCCTCCCCTCTCCCCAGCTGAAGTCCGGAAGCCTGGTCTCGAGGGAGCAGTACGGGGCTTGGATCAAGGGCCTGTGAGGTCAGACCACGGCCCGGGCAGGCTCACTTTGAATCAAAACACGCTGTACACAGACGGCTGCCCTTGAGCAACAATGATGTCATCTAAGAACCAAAACAAGGCCTTCCCGGCAGCAGCAGAAAGAAGGACCTGTGACCACACAGGCGGCGGTCTGCTGCCCGTGCAGCCAGACGGGCCTTCAGATGGTTCTGACTCTGCGCGCTCAGCCTCTGCTGCAATCATTCCACGCTCCAAGCGCAGCGAGAGGCAGAGAACCAACAAAAACAAAAGGTGCCCGGGCAGAGCAGAGAGCCATAAAGGGATTAAGTCCATTGACAGGTGAGAAAACCAAGACCCAGGGAGGTGACCTGCCAAGGTCACAAAGGACCAAGCCTGACTGTGCCAAGGCCAGTACTGCTGGCCCTCCAGCAAACACAGCCCAGAAGACTTGGGTGTACCCTCAGGGACATCAGATTAAAATCCCACCTGCTGGGGGCAACACTGAGTTTCTCCAGTGAATTCTCTCAATCACTAGTTCCCTGGGTGCTCTGCAGAAGAAAAATATTTCCCCATCCGGATAATATCAGGAAAGCCTGAGACAAACTGTCTCAAAGGTCTCTTGACTGCAGTACTTTTCAGAGCCTTTACTACACGTGCATGAGCAATGTTCAGCAGCCGGCCATGAGCTCTGCCCTAGCGTCCTTGACCTTTGTTTGCACAGGGCTGGGGTACGGGACCAGCTGGAAGTTGTGGGCACCCAACTCCCAGGCGGCCTAGAGATAATGAAACACATACGAACAAAAGAAGCTGAATTCCCACCTCCTGAGAGGAGAAGCAGCGGCTCTTATTAGAGTCGTGCCATTTGGACTGGGAATGGATACGATGTAACAATAACATCTAATTTTAATTGACGTGAATTTTGAATAGAATGTAAGCATTTTGATCATTATCGTAATGTGAGCTCAAATCCTAGAATCCTCAGGACCAGGTTTTTATGTAGAAAAGTAGCTCTAGGCCCTAAGTCCGCGCTTCAGTCTAGGGCCCTATGAGTTACCTGCTGGGAAGTAAGATCAGTTCATCACTTGAACAAAATAATTTTTTTTGATTAGCCTCGGCAAGAAATCTCAGTGTAACTATCAGATTGCATTTGGGAAGGCATTTTGGTGACTTCTAATCTGTAAAGATTTGTATTTGTCCTAAGAGGATCTGCTGGCTTCAATTCCACCAGTCTGAGCAGGCTGGAGAAAAACCAAAGCAAACGACACCTTCGAACAGGGAAACCAGAAATGGCCTGTTTAAGCACAGGGACTCTCCCAGGAGGGGCCTGAGAGAAGAGGGCTCCCTGTATGAGCCAGCCCCCAAGAACAGGCAGGAGGACGCTAGGGACAGCCATCACGGCAAGAAGCGAACCGCAAGCCAAAAGATGCCCAAGTTGATCTTGAACTCCAGGGTCAAGGCATTCACCACGCCAGGAGGCATGCAGTGCTGCATGCCTTGCCTCCCTCGAGGGAAGGGAGATGCAAGGAAGAGCGGGGAGGGAAAAAACAGTTGCTATCTGTGTTATATGGATATCGTGACCACGCTACGAGATCGTCACTTGAGAAATCCATCATCACCTGATCACTGTATCCCTACAACCAGACTGAGATTCCACCTTCCGGGGGACATGCAGGTGGCACACTGAGCACACACACAACAAACAACGCACAACCTACTCTTTAAACATTTCATTTTCTCCTTCAAACCTGCAACGTAATAAGGTGGAGTTATTAGACTGCATTAACATACAAAACTAAGTTCAGATTTGGGAGTACGAACATTTCCATGTATCAGTTAAAACAAGCAAAGAAAAAGCTTTCGAATGTTCCCAAGAGGGAATTCCCCGGCGGTTCAGTGGTTAGGACTCCACGCTTCCACTGCAGGGGGCACGAGTTCGATCTCTGGTCAGGGAGTTAAGACCCCACATGCCACACGGCGGCCAAAAAAAAGAAATGTTCCCCGAAGGGAAAAGACTTTAATTTATATGTAATAAATGATATAAATAAATATTAAATATATGTTCTCATTTTCAGTATACTTATGCATAGAGTCATAGGTCTAATTATCTCTACAGATGCTGAAACACCTAATTCTAAGGTTTCCAAAGCCTCAAAGCTTTTGTCTTGCACGTTTTAAGTGCACTCAAATTGTTTGTACACTAATTCATGGACCAAAACATCCTTGGAATCTAAAGATTTATCCTGTTTGCATAGGGGAGACAGAACGCCAAAGGCAAACATGCTACCCAAAGTGTTTTTGGTCCATCTCTCCTCCGCCTACTGGGCACAACTAAAGAATTCATTCTGAGGCATTCCCAGCAATGGAGGCATTTTTCAGCCTCGTTTGGGGAAAGGGATAAATCGGTTGGGGGGTGGGGACGGAATACTCCATGCGGGATAAAGTGGGGGCTGATAGACAAGGTGGGTGAGGCAACCAACCATTAAACCTCATTGAACCCATTTTCATTTCAAATTTCACTGAGGAGTTCAGCTACAGGTAAGAAATGCCAGATGCTTTAGAAATGAGACAGCAGGATTATAAGCTTGTAAAGGGGCACGTCTTCCAAACAGCGGTGCCGATGTGTCAGTCTAGAGCCTCTGTGGTACCTGCATCATTTCAGCCGCTACTGTGTGGTCACATCTGAGGCCACTGACGGACCAGAATGGGCTGGGAAAGCACCGTCATAAACGCACTTCAGGAACCTACCTCCATTGGCCAGGAGGTTCTCCTGGACCTTCCCCTTTGCATCCTCCATCACTTCCACCACACTCTGGGCCATTCTCTTTATGAGGCTTTGGGGAAAGAACAAAAAGCCAGTTAGAGCAGGAAACTGCCCTCAGAATACTCTCACACTCTGCTGGCAGGAAAAGGACCAGAGTCACCCTTTGGGAGAACAACCCAGCAATATGCATGAAGAGACGTAAAATGCTAACCAGTATTTAAACCAGTGTTTCCACTTCTGGGAAACTATCTTAAGGAAACAGGACAAACAGAAAAAGCTTTCTGAATAAAAAGATGTTCTTCGCAGTAACGTTGCTGACAGCGAAACACTGGGAGCCACTGGAAGGTCTGACAATAGCGGATTGTTTAAGTGAAGGACGGTATACCCAGCTGAGGGGTTATTAGCAGCCACTGAAAATAGGTTTACAAGGAATTTCTAATACCGTGGAACAAGGCGTGCATTATAATGTTACGTGGAAAGAAAACAAGATACAGACTTATACACACAGTATGGCTGCAGCTATGTGAAAATGCTCTTCCTACTTTACATATTTTCTATTCTAATCCAGTATTGCTTTTATAATTAGAAAATTAAAACTTTCTAAGTCTTCAGAAAACATACTGAAGGCTCCAGAAAGTACGAGAAAGGAAAGGAAAGTATGAGACTTGGAGGCAGAAGGGCTCAAGTTCACTGTGGCTCTGCCAAAGGTATGACTCTGGCCAAATTCATTTAATCTCTTTGAGCCTCAGTTCTCTTCTCTGTAAAATGGGATGATACCCATTTTGCGGGATTGTTATAAATATTAATAGAACTAGTCAGGCAGGAGTGTCTGGTGGCAAAGAGTGTCCACTCCTGGAGGCCCATCAGTTAGAAGTCCAGCTGGCAGCAGGCCAACCAGGATCAAAGTCTAAAAGCTCTGATGATCTACATCTTTGCCTCAGGCCCTCTCTACTCATTCTCCTGGCTCCCAGGAGGGAGCAGGTGTTTGCAGGCAGGAGGATGAGGTCACTGAATTCCAAATGGAGAACACGGTTTTCTGCTGATGCAGACACTGGCCATGTGGCCACTCAGAGTGGAGCCCAAGGGCCTAGGGCCCGACACAGAAAACTGAGGCAGAGGGCACTGAAAGCCCCCAGATTAAAGAAAGAGAGGGAGAGAGGGAAAGACGGAGAGAGGGAAGGAAAAAATGACAGAGTAGGCAGGGAGAGCAACTTGTTTTCGCATCTAACTTATGTATGTTCCTGACCATAAACTGAAAAATACAAGTATAAAGTAATTAACAAAAAATGAAGGGGCTTTCCTGGTGGTGCAGTGGTTGGGAATCTGCCTGCCAATGCAGGGGCACAGGTTCGAGCCCTGGTCCAGGAAGATCCCACATGCCGCGGAGCAACTGAGCCCATGCACCACAACTACTGAGCCCATGCGCTACAACTACTGAGCCTGTGCTCTAGAGCCTGCGAGCCACAACTACTGAGCCCACGTGCCACAACTGCTGAAGCCCACGTGCCTAGAGCCCATGCTCCGCAACAAGAGAAGTCACCGCAATAAGAAGCCCGAGCACTGCAATGAACAGTAGCCCCCGCTCGCTGCAACTAGAGAAAGCCCGCGCACAGCAACAAAGACCCAATGCAGCCAAGAATAAATATAATTAATTATTTAATTAATTTTTTAAAAAAATGAACAACCACACTCTCCCACCCAAAAGGAAACACGTGCTTTGAATTCTGGCATACTTCCAAATACTTAACACTTCCACAGTTTATATTAAGTTGAGGTCCTCTTTTGTTTACCAAGTCCTCTATCACTGTTATCGAATCATCACAAAAATTCTCGAATTTTTGTGATGATTATCATCCCATTTTACAGATGGGAGACTGTGGCCCAGAGGAGTAATTTGCCTCCCAACTACCC